ACTTACGGCACCTCGTGGAGCGTCTTAAGTCGATTTCGACTTCTTAAGAGTTGTTCTACTCCCCAAGCCCAAGGCTTGTGTTAGTGGTCAGACTGTGGCTGGCAGCGGCCTGTGTATCCATCACAGCTCAGGTGATCCGCTACTTCCTGCTCGAACCTGTCCGACAGCCTCTTGAAAACCTGTACTTGCGCTCCGGCAATATGTGTTATATTTGTTGGGGGAAGGTTAGAGAGCAGTGGACCCCTGGTGTTCAGACATTCTCTAACTGTGCCTATACTCTACCTCTACTCCTCACTGGCTCTATTCTTCACTTCCATCTCTTTCACGCGAGTAATTTGACTGAACAGATTTTGAACCTCCTATTTTTAGTGAACAGACAGGTTCCAGTACACACAGAAATCACAATAGCGTGTTGCATCAATGAACGAATCCACAAGGGCCGTGACGAGGATTCGAACCTGCGTCCGAGATCATCCCAGACGCTGCTCAGTCAGTCGATTAAGGCAGCGTCTGGGATGATCTCGGACGTAGGTTCGAATCCTTGTCACGGTCCTTGTGGATTTGTTTTTTGACATTTTCCAGTACAGGAGAACTGCACATTTACACACACCGAATATATCAAGAGAAACGCCAGTACCTCACCCAATACTTGGGAAAACTTTAATGTCAAATCACTACAGGAAGTAGACTAAGAATTCAAATGGCAGAGGATGAGGTGTAAGTGGTAGAGAGGCAGGAGCCCCAGAGGGGACAGTACGGACACGACCGCCTTCTAGTCACTACAGGAAGTGCGTCGTCCCATGGTCTGAGTAACTATAAGGTGTGAAGGATAGACGGAATTGTTTATGTAATGATCTAAGATGAAGTCTGATAGACCTTTTGTGCCCTCTGTAATGCTTTTTGCGCTACCGCTCACAGGATGAGTATGGGGTGCACAATAAACTAGCCGCCGCTGGCGGCAACAATCAAATCAACCGTGTTGACCAGACCACACACTAGAAAATGAAGGGACGACGACGTTTCGGTCCGTCCTGGACCATTCTCAAGTCAACTGTCTTCGTCCCTTCACTTTCTAGTGTGTGGTCTGGTCAACATACTTCAGCCACGTTATTGTGACTCATCGCCTGCAAATCAACCAAGGTGTGATGGTCAGTCGCCCAACACCACCCCACCACGCCTTGCCTGTTTTAAGTTTTGACCCGAGGGGCGAGTTTATTGGGCAGCGCCACTCATCCTGTGAGTGGACACACCGCCATAGCAGCATGTACAACACTCTCCAATAGGAAGAAACCCCGCTGGGTTGTTCGTCCTGTGAAAAACACGGAACCTGTCCCCAGAGGCCCACATCAAAAGGATATCATCAGCGGCATATATGCTAGATTGGCCAACATAAGAACTGCCTTAAGAAACTTGTGTAAGGAATCGTTCAGTAGCTTTTATATTACTTATGTCAGACCAATCCTGGAGTATGTAGCTCCAGCCTGGATTCCATTCCTAGTTAAACACAAGACAAAGTTGGAGAAGATTCAGACGATTGCCACCAGACTAGTCCCAGAACTTACATATGAGTTAACGGGAACTAAACCTCACGTCCCTGGAAGACAGAAGAGTTAGGGAAGACATGATCATCACCTACAAAATTCTTAAGAGGAATTGACAGGGTGTACTAACTATTTAGCTCGGGTGGAACACGAACAAGGGGGCACGGGTGGAAACTCGGTACCCAAATGAGCCACAGGGACATTAAGAAGAATTTTTTTCAGTGTCAGAGTAGTTAGTAAATGGAATGCATTAGGCAGTGATGTGGTGGAGGCTGACTCCATACACAGTTTCAAATGTAGATATGATAGAACCCAGTAGGCTCAGGAACCTGTACACCAGTTGATTGACAGACGAGAGGCGGGACCAAAGAGCTCAACCCCTACAAACACAACTAGGCGAGCACAACCACCACCGCCGCTCACAGAACAACACCGTCACTGGTTCACATAATCACATTATTGCACAACACGTCAAGGGCAAGCTTGTGGCCTCTATATAGAGACAGCAGCAATTTAACAGTTAAGAAGGCCGTAAATAAGCGACAGACCTCTGACCTCAATCCACAAGACGTCACCACCACCACCAAAATAACCAACATTCCGCTACCAGCAACATATGTTCGCCTCACAGTCGCCACCTTCAAACTTAACCTCAAATGTCTATGACACAAATTCCAAACACATATGCTTGAAGCACAGCATGTTTCCATTTGCCTCACTCTGCTTACCAGAGAAATCAGAGGCCAGTAACAAGTTACTCTAGCAACAACAGGTGTATGAGGGGGACACTAGCGGGGGTGTGGTTGGGTGACGGGGGAAGGGGGGCTAATATCCCCCGTCCCCCCCAAACAAAAATATTGTCGGCCCAGCGCGCCCACCAGCCACTTTACGCTCCTAGCAACACCAGGCGGGTTGGCCCGACCCTGACCTTTCCCTGGTTCCTCAGCATCACGTCCGTCCGGCCCGCCGCCTCGTGCATGAGAGGAGGGGGTGACGAGAGGGGGACGAGGTAGGAGGAGGAGGGAGGTTAGGGTAACATACATTATACGAGCTGGAGACCCTGGCAGGAGGTTCTATAGTAGTGAGGTGCATGCAATGTGTTGGGTGGTGGAGGGCCAGCCCTCTGGTGTGGTCACGCTGAGGTGTCCCTGTCACACCTCCACACACTCAATATCTACATCACCACAAGCGCCTCTCTGTACCACCTGTCACTCCAGTACCGTCCAGCACCACCTGTCGCTGAGAAGTTTCTTTAGAGACGGTCAATACAACGCTCCACATACGGTTCTCAAATGACTTAAATTTTTCATTTATCAACACGAGAAAAACCACGTTGCGGTGGGAGGTTCATGACCCACAGATGTTGACTTGAAGAGCTGTTTGTTTCCTTCATTTTCCTTTCCTTCACACTACTTAAACAACATTTTATAGAGGGGATGAGGGGGGGGGGGGGAATGTGTCTCTGTGCTGCACGTGTCAAACCCCTGGAACCCCTCAGTCATAACCAGGGACACGAGGCGACAGCAGCGCCGCCCCTCACTCAAGGCCAAGTCTTGCAACTTAATTTACCGGACGTATGCTTCATTAATCTGACACACACACCGACACACACACACACACACAAATAGTTGAGAACACTGACACACGCGCGCACGCTCATGTTGGTCAAGTGTTCTATGCCAATTGAGTGTATTTCTAGTTCTTTCTATCATACACATTTCTTCATTACATGTGAACTTGAAGCACCGTGTATATGGCACCGTGTTGGTGTACTGTTCAAGGCCAATGGTACTGGCAAGTGCGTGGTTGCTTATAGTGTCAACCAAGTCAGCCACCCGCCGGCAAGTCAGCCACCCAAGTTTTAGGCTGGGATCCCAGGCCGCGCTCTCCATTCCCCCTTGCGATAAAAATCGATTGAATGGAGATCGATAAAAATACAGATTGAAGTGTGTTCAGTAAGAGCGCAGGTTGTTGACCAGCAGGAAGCACCACCACGCCCCCACACACACCAGCTACACCTGTTATAATTATCTCTTCCACCTCCCTGCTCCCACACTTGGCCTTGACCAAAGAGCCAAAGCTCAACCCCCCGCAAGCACAACTAGGTGAGTATTCGTGGCCACCTCCAGAATTCATCATGGATTTACGCAACCCTTTACGAAATTTGTACATCTCTTTCCTTAATCGTGGTGACTTTGTATATGTATTACAGGTTTAAGAGCTCCGGAGAATGAAGAGGTTGTTTATAACAAGACTAACCTTGGGTTGTTTCCAAGCTGGTAACCTCTTAAATAACTGTAAACACGCCCGCAATAATTGTGGAAAGATGTACAGCTTTCGCAAGTGGATGCATAAACGCTTCGTAGACCGTGACGGGGACCGAGAGTGTGACCCCCCGAGTGCCGTGGGTGTGGTCCCACCCTCACATGTCATACTGGTAGAGGGCTCTCCCGCATCTCCTTGGGACCCGTCTCCAGTCTCCACCTCACACTTCAAGACTCGGAGGTCCACCTTCTTGGTGGACATCAGAGGTCCACCTTCTGCAAGAGGTGAACCTTTGGTGCTGACGCCGGGTTCTCCAGTTGTCCTCCTGGCGTCTACCTCTTAAAGAGTTACCGACCAGTACCTTTGAGCTCGGTAGTCAGAAGTCAAACAATACAAGACCGTGGTGAGATCGACTGGGCGCCAATCCTCAACTGTACACCTGTTCACCCAGCAGTGAATGGGTACCTGGTTGTTAAACGATTCGGCGGGTCGTGTTCCAGGAAAAAATAAGGACCTGCCCGAAACGCTAATGCATGCTAGTAGTTTTACAAGAATGTAAGAACTCTTGTATATATAAATAAATAAAATATCCATGGAATTTTTGGATGGAAACAGCAGCCGAGCTGCAGAATCTGTGGCGAGTGACAGACACAACCTTGACCACTACCTGAGAGAATGTGAACATCCAAAAGACATTAAAAATATCTGTAGAATAATAAACCCCACATTGTTTGAGTTAGGAAAATACTATCTACCCAATATAGATACTGCTCTTAAAAGATTCCTCCATTTTGCACCCGCAAGATAACTTAAGATTTTAAGGGTTGACAAATGTTAATCTTCTTGTTTGAGGAGCTGTTCACAGTTGACAGTTAAGCAAGTCCCAGCTATGTCTGGTACAAGTGACAGGATGAACAACCCAGCGGGTTTTCTTCCTATTGGGGAGTGTTGTACATGCTGCTATGGCGGTGTGTAAAACTGAGCTTAAACAAAATGCACATGCACTTATTATTTAAAATTGTTAGTAAATCAATATCTTATCCAATTTCAATGTATATTTTACAACTTCTAAACGTATTAATTCCTGTAGATGTATAAATAAATCGAAGCGTCGATATGAAATTGCACATATATACATGCCCCTGCACATGTATACAATAAGAGTATGGAAGTTAACTATTTACATTTCGGCAGATTGAGTGAGAGCAGCAGCAGCAGAAGTTACAGGCAGCCAGACCCTGGGACACCAGCAGCCTCCACCACCACGCCGACCAGCAGACACACCCAGCGCCACCACTAGAGCATCCTGCAAGCGGCAGAGAGCAGAGGAGACTTACTGCTGCGGGAAGCTGCCTCCAGCACCTCCACCATGAGGGCGAGCACCTCCCACAGACAGGACAGCGGCCTGGGCAGCTGCCACACCCCCTAGTCCCTCATCATACGTCGCCCTCCCGCAGCAGCAAGTGCAGCAGCAGGAGCCACAGTCTGAGTGGCCATCCTGAGTGTGTACTTGCCCGAGTCCATCCTTTCAGAAGACAACTTTGGAGTGTGGTGTCGAGAGCACGGCTCCTCCAGTGTTGCAGACCCCCTCAGTAACCATGGTAGACAACCCGATGTACGCCCACAACGATCACCTCAACGTAAGTACAAAACCTCTCCTCTATTAATAAATCCACCAGGGCCGTGATCAGGGTTCGAACTTACGTCCAGGATGATGGTAGACGCGCCTTCCTCTATTCATTCCTCCAACATCATCCTCGACAAACACACCCTCAATTCATGTTGTATAAAATAAATCAACTTATTATATACTAAGCTGGATTGAGTAATACTTATTTAGAAAAACTTCAGCCTTCAAGATAATTTATCTTTCCTGATTTTTAATAAGTACAGAGAGGGAGACTGCACCTGTTATCTAAGCTCGATTACCTGAACTTCGACGTCGTGTGAGGTTCAGGTAGACAGGGGTCTATAGAACCACACAGAACACCACAAAAACGCGTATAAATTTGCGTGAACTCCACTAAAAACAGTTTTGTTCATTTACAAGTGTACAAACTATACTCTCACTTCAAATACAATAGTGCACTTTTATTGTTGTGAGGAGAGGCTGTCAACCAAGACACCGTACTCTAGACCAGTTGGTTAAGCATCCTGTCCTCGTTATAGCATTTGGACGTATACTTTACACAAGGTCAAAAAACAGGAAAATGGCAGCGGCTCGCGAAATTGACATACTGTCCCGTTTTCTGTTCGTGGGTCCTCCGGGAGGATACGATAAGACACTTTGGTACGACCGTTTATTGACGTTGGGAACGCTGGTGAGAACGAGATGGGCTCACACACCTGGTGCTCACACAGCTGGTGCTCACACACCTGGTGCTCACACACCTGGTGCTCACACAGCTGGTGCTCACACACCTGGTGCTCACACAGCTGGTGCTCACACAGCTGGTGCTCACACACCTGGTGCTCACACACCTGGTGCTCACACACCTGGTGCCACACACCTGGTGCTCACACAGCTGGTGCTCACACACCTGGTGCTCACACAGCTGGTGCTCACACAGCTGGTGCTCAACACCTGCTCACACACCTGGTGCTCACACAGCTGGTGCCACACACCTGGTGCTCACACTGGTGCACCACCTGGCGCCTCGTAATTATAAGCTTTATTCCCAACGAACTGCACCAATAATAAGCGACCAAGCCAGTCTCTCTCGCCACACGCAACGCCTGTTGGACCAAGTTATCAAGTCGAGTCTGGCCCGCCGGGCTTGGGGACTAGAAGAACTCCCAAAGTCCTCTCTATCCAGATTGATGAAGATTAAGCCACCCAAAAGGTGGCACGGGCATGAATAGCCCGTACGTGGTGGCCCTTTTGAGCCATTACCAGTATCAAGAGCTGATACTGGAGATCTGTGGAGGTGCGACTGCACCCTGCGTGACGGGAGATGTCTCCCGTAAAAGAAATCTCTCTCTATTCAAGTATGCTCAACTATTAGAATCAAACCATATCCCAACCATCAATATCTTTCACGTGTTACCCAGAAACCAATCCATGGACCAGCTGAGGAGATTGATTGATTGATGAAGATTAAGCCACCCAAGAGGTGGCACGGGCATGAATAACCCCGTAAGACCCAGACGTTTAGCCCTTGACACAAGCTTATACCAAAACAGCAGCTTGTGTTGGTTCTCTCTCCTCACCACCCAGCTGTAGCACCATCACTCACCTGCATGTTGATCAACCATGCTGTTGCAAATCCTGACTCCTCTAACCCCACACATCACCGCTAACCTACAAATTGCTTCCTTTATACTTCAATAAAAAGGTTTTTTTTTTACACATCAGCACTAAATGTTTTCCCGGTCGAAATTCAAGACATTTTCCCAATAACATGCCACAGATAACGGGGTATTGTCGTCAAGCAGGAACTGTTCTACTCCACCCCCCCCCCCCCCCCCACCCGGTCGGCCGAGCGGACAGCACGCTGGACTTGTGATCCTGTGGTCCCGGGTTCGATCCCCGGCGAGAAACAATGGGCAGAGTTTCTTTCACCCTATGCCCCTGTTACCTAGCACTAAAATAAGTACCTGGGTGCTAGTCAGCTGTCACGGGCTGCTTCCCCCCTTCCTCCCACCACTCAGGAATAGTGACCAGGACCACTGGTCTGCCTCTCCAGCACACACGGAGACTGTCTTGTAGTACAGGGGCTCTTGGTCCCTGTACGTGTTCCCACCACCACCCTGAGCATGATGACGTTACGTTATCATGCTCATCAACACGTTACCCGGTCCTCGACCAGGCCTCCACCCCTAGGAAGCAACCCGTGACGGCTGACTAGCACCCAGGTACCTATTTTACTGCTAGGTAACAGGGGCATAGAGTGAAAAACTCTGCCCATTGTTTCTCACCGGCGCCTGGGATCGAACCCCGGACCACAGGATCACAAGTCCAGCTTGCTGTCCGCTCGGCCGACCGGCTCCCCAAATGTGGGGGGGGAGGGGGGATTATCAAGGGAAAGCGCCAAGCCATTACGACTATTTAGCACTTGGAAGAGGGTCAGGATAAGGATTTGGGAAGGGACGGAGGGAAGGAATGGTGCCCAACCACTTGGACGGTCGGGGATTGAACGCCGACCTGCATGAAGCGAGACCGTCGCTCTACCGTCCAGCCCAAGTGGTTGGCTGTGGGGGGAGGGGAGGCAACTGGCTATATTTTAACCCATATTGGTTTATAACGATTGTTCCACGCTGGTAACAATAATAATACTCAAACTATTTCGTAAAATAATGGAACAATGTAAGTAGCATCGTCACTCCCTGATACATGTTTAACACATCCAACTCGAGTTTTAATTAGTTTTCGTAAGAAAACTTGTCAGCCCCAAGTTTCTGGCGATTGTCTTCATTTAAGAATAGAGAGAGTAAGGTGAAGCAATCCTTGACGTCACTCCTTGACGTCACTCCTTGACGTCACCGACCTCCCAAACCCTCGGATACAATTAACGTTGAAACATCAAGACAAAGAAATTGACGTTTTTCGTTGTGATCTTGACTTTCTTGGGTTATCTTGAGATGATTTCGGGGATTTTTAGTGTCCCCGCGGCCCGGTCCTCGACCAGGCCTCCACCCCCAGGAAGCAGCCCGTGACAGCTGACTAACACCCAGGTACCTATTTACTGCTAGGTAACAGGGACATAGGGTGAAAGAAACTCTGCCCGTTGTTTCTCGCCGGCGCCTGGGATCGAACCCAGGACCACAGGATCACAAGACCAGTGTGCTGTCCGCTCGGACAGATTGCAGGTGTGGCCTTCCACATGTGCTTCTTGGGGTTATGACTGCAGGTGTGCTCGTTCCAAGACTTCAGAAACACAAGTAAACTTTACCCACTGCCAATCCCTAGGTTTCAAAACATTAACACACAATGTCTTCAAACATTAACACTCACGGTATAAAAACACTTACAATTACTGTTTAAAGAACATTACCCATGTTTATCCAACTACCGAAAAACGCACATATAAATGTTACTTTCTGCCTTAAGGAGTAGAAGGAAGTAGAAGTAGAGTAGAAGGAATCCGGGGAAGAGAGGTGCCCTTCCCCACACCTGCCAAGACTGCCACCCCACACCTGCACACTCCACTCACACCTTCCCTACACCCGCCAAGACTGCCACCCCACACCTGCCAAGACTGCCACCCCAAACATGCACACTCCACCTCTCATATATCCTATACTGGCTATACAAATTGTCCCAGTTGTCAATCAATTAACTTTACAATACCAGCTTAGAGTAGACAGTTGACACCAGTTGCCCCGGAAATCCATCCATTGTCCACTTCCAGACAAAACGCCGCATATAACTGGGATCCGAACCTTGCCACACAGTCACTATGTCTCTCCAATAACCGGCAAGCAATGCCTCAACTCCAACGTTCCATAACGTCATTTTTAAACGTGGTTTATGAGTTTTACATTGAGGCATAAAGCAAGTTGGTTTATAATACAACCCGTCCTCCTAATAGAACGTCGCATTTTGACGTATATTCTACCCAAGACCAAAAAAATGTCGTACTAGAACAAGCAAGCGGTTCGCGGAATTGACATACCGTTTTCTGTTTTAGGGCCTCTCTTAGGTTAGTAGAGGACACTTAAATATGACTTTATTGGCAGTGTTTTAAGTAACAGCTTGACCCCCTAGTTCATTTTAGCTTGGTTCTTCATAATTTCACGCACTCAGTATTCGTCTTGCAGAGTAGCAGAAGGGGAAGGGGAGGCGTTCCCCCTAGCCCCAACTCCTGAAAATTACTAGATAACTGTATCTTAGATACAGATCTTATGTAGATATCTTAGTCTATGCTATTCTTGCCAATGATGATTTACTGCTTGCTTGCTTGTCTTCTTGTTTAAGGGGAGCTTCTCATTTACCATTTGACGAAACTGAATTTGCCATTTTTTGTCCAATTTTAGTTATAAGTCAAAACAGTTTTCCAAGCTCCACTGAAACTTGTATCTGCCCGTCGCAGAGATGTATATGGTTAGGCATGAGTTCTCAATACACCCACACTGATCTTACTGGCTTAAACCCCCTTATCTTCTTATCTTGCTATCTTAACTAGTGTTATCTTCTCTTGCTGGTTGTCTTCCATCTATGTGACAGTTCCCGTCAATAATTCCTTCCTATACACTCCAAATCACCTGGGCTCTGGGAGATTCGAACCTTGGACCCGACCTTCCTATATATATTGGCACTAGTATCTTGTTCAGAGCTTCAACAGTACCCACGGTGGTATTTTGTCAGGGGTCATAACCTTCGTTCCGTCTCTCAGGGAACCTACTAATTCCTGCCTCACTATTAAATACTATATTTTCCACATCAATGCCGAGTCAACATCCTTAATGTGAACGGGAGCTTCCGCGTCGCTACACACACACACACACACACACACACACACACACACAATAGGTAGCGAAAATTACTACAACGTATTTATTGACAAATTCATGACGAAGGAGGAACAGATTGCCCACAGAGCAAGCAAACAACAATACGACTCTTCCCATTTGAGCGCAGCTACACACCCCAGTGCTAATCCACCCCATGCTAACCAGCTCACACGTGCTTCTCAGGTCA